GGACAAAGACAGACACCTTTTAAGAGTAGAACCACCAACTTTCCAATACATAGCTAGTTAGAAATCAAGAAATGGAAATGGCTTTATTGAGACTTACTTGGGACAAAGACAGACACCTTTTAAGAGTAGAACCACCAACTTTCCAATACATAGCTAGTTAGAAAACAAGAAATGGAAATGGCTTTATTGAGACTTACTTGGGACAAAGACAGACACCTTTTAAGAGTAGAACCACCAACTTTCCAATACATAGCTAGTTAGAAATCAAGAAATGGAAATGGCTTTATTGAGACTTACTTGGGACAAAGACAGACACCTTTTAAGAGTAGAACCACCAACTTTCCAATACATAGCTAGTTAGAAAACAAGAAATGGAAATGGCTTTATTGAGACTTACTTGGGACAAAGACAGACACCTTTTAAGAGTAGAACCACCAACTTTCAAATACATAGCTAGTTAGAAAACTAGAAATGAAAATGCCTTTATTGAGACTTACTTGTGACTTCAAAAGCAAATTTTACCTGACCATACAAAGTGTTCATCTCTCTCCACACTGAAACAACTTCCAATCTTACAAATCTGCCAGCCCAGAGGTGTAGAAAGCTATTCCATACCATAGCCTTCTTGCAAGTATAAAGTCGCTGGACCTCTCGAAGAATTGATAGACTCGATCAACTTCCACCATGCATGTCAAGTACATTTGTACTTCATTACTCTGTCACAGGTGTGCTTTTACCATCCATTTCCTGACATCTGTCCATCATCACATTTAATACCACTTAAGCCATTCAGACTCCATGGTCTATAGGTTTACTGAAAAGTCACTGGGTTAACAAAACAACATTCCAATCTCAAAATGTTAGCATTGACCATATCTGACCATATCTTAAACAAACCCTTAGCTAAACTAGAAACAATTGTTTAGTTGGTTGTCAAGTCATATGGCGACTGGCCTGCCTCCTTTATTGTTAGGAAAAATGCCCCAAATGTTCGTTGTTTTAGGCAAGGGCTGGTACCAAACAGATTATAGCAACCAATATTCCAGTCTTCCTAGTTATAGACTTAAATCCTACAAAAAGACAATTCCAATCTACTGAATATGTAACTGATTTATTTACGTAGCTATTGAAAAATTGAGCCTCCATAAATGTTGCACTTCAGCTGTCCTGTGACTTACACAAATTCAAAATAGATAATTTACCAATGCTCCATCATGTCACTTTCCAGCACAATCACACTACACCAATGTCATAAAAATCACTTCACCAATGTCACACAACCACACACATTCCGACATAAATCCAGCCAACATGTTGCAAGGGTTCACTGAAATGTCACTGGGGTTAATAGAACAACATTGCAATCTTAAAAAGTAACAATGTAACCTAAGCAATTTTTCTATTAAACAGATACAATTCTACGTTCTATTTTGGTGACTGTCAAGCTTTAAAGGTAGAGGAAAATGTGCCTTAATGACATTGTTTCGGACAAAGACAGACACCTTTTAAGAGTAGAACCACCAACTTTCCAATACATAGCTAGTTAGAAATCAAGAAATGGAAATGGCTTTATTGAGACTTACTTGGGACAAAGACAGACACCTTTTAAGAGTAGAACCACCAACTTTCCAATACATAGCTAGTTAGAAAACAAGAAATGGAAATGGCTTTATTGAGACTTACTTGGGACAAAGTCAGACACCTTTTAAGAGTAGAACCACTAACTTTCCAACACATAGCTAGTTAGATAACAAGAAATAGAAATGGCTTTATTGAGACTTACTTGGGACAAAGACAGACACATTTTAAGAGTAGAACCACCAACTTTCCAATACATAGCTAGTTAGAAAACTAGAAATGGAAATGCCTTTATTGAGACTTACTTGTGACTCCAAAAGCAAATTTTACCTGATCATACAAAGTGTTCATCCCTCTCCACACTGAATAAACTTCCAATCTTACAAATCTGCCAGCCCAGAGGTGTAGAAAGCTATTCCATACCATATCCTTCTTGCGAGTATAAAGTCGCTGGACCTCTCGAAGAATTGATAGTCTCGATCAACTTCCACCATGCATGTCAAGTACTTCATAACTCTGCCACAGTCCACTTTCTGACATCTATCCATCATCACATTTGATGCAACTCCATGGTCTGAAAGATCATATCCATCATCATATTTAGTGCAACTCCTCGGTCTGAAAGATCACATCTATCTTCGAATTTGATGCAACTCCATGGTCTGAAAGATCATATTATTATTCATCATCACATTTGGTGCAAATCCATGGTCTGACAGATAACATCCATCATCATATTTGATGCAACTCGATGGTCTGAAAGATCACAAACACAACATTCTAATCTCATAATTTTAACATCTACAATATTTTTACAAATAACTATCCAACTAAACAGACAACTACTTGCTATTTAATGGTTTAAAGTTATGTGCCAGATGAAAATATACCATTAAAGTGCAAGGAGTAGCAAACTGGCATTATGAATAGAACCACTGACCTTCCAGTCTAGCTAGCTAAAGACAATCAACTATTATTCTCAACTGAATAAAATAATCTTTTTAAACTCAGTTCTTTTTTTGAAAACCCCATTTAAATCAAGTAAAATATAGTAAAATACTCAATAATACCTGAAAATGTTCACCAATTTACACAACACAAATTACCAAATTGTGTACAAAAAATAGTTACTATAATAAAATCCTTAAAATAAAGTAATGTTTAGTAAAATACCTAATTGCTCCATCATGCCTCATTCCAAACACATACACAGTCATCATCATATTTGGTGCAACTCCATGATCTGCAAGAGCACATTCATCATCACATTTGATGCAACTCCATGGTCTGAAAGATCACATCCATCATCACACATTTGATGCAACTCCATGGTCTGCAAGAGCACATTCATCATCACATTTGGTGCAACTCCATGGTCTGAAAGATCACATCAAACATCATATTTGGTGCAACTCCATGGTCTGAAAGATCACATCCATCATCACATTTGATGCAACTCCATGGTCTGAACGATCACATCCATCATCACATTTGGTGCAACTCCATGGTCTGAAAGATCACAGGGGTAACAAAACAACATTCTAATCTCATCTTCAATATTTTTACAAATTACTTTCCAACTAAACAGACAACTTCTTGTTATTTAATGGTTTAAAGTTATGTGCCAGATGAAAATACATGTTTACCATTCAAGTGCAAGGAGTAGCAAACTGACATTATGAATAGAACCACTGACCTTCCAGTCTAACTAGCTTAAAGACAACCAACTGTAATTCTCAACTGAATAAAATAATCTTTTAAAACTCAGTTCTTTTCTTAATGAAAAATCCATTTAAATCAAGTAAAATATAGTAAAATACTCATTTTTACCTGAAATTGTTCACCAATTTAGACAACACAAATTACAAAATTGTGTACAAAAAATGTTACTATTATAAAATCCTTAAACTGAAGTAATGTTTAGTAAAATACCCAATTTCTCCACCATGCCTCATACCAACACATACACAGCCATCATCATATTTGATGCAACTCCTCGGTCTGAAAGATCACAGGGGTAACAAAACAACATTCTAATCTCATGATTTTAACATCTACAATATTTTTACAAATTACTTTCCAACTAAACAGACAACTTCTTGTTATTTGATGGTTTAAAGTTATGTGCCAGATGAAAATATACCATTAAAGTGCAAGGAGTAGCAAACTGACATTATAAATAGAACCACTGACCTTCCGAATAGAACCACTGACCTTCCAGTCTAACAAGCTATAGACAATCAACTGTAATTCTCAATTGAATAAAATAATCTTTTTAAACTCAGTTTTTTTCTTAATGAAAAATCCATTAAAATCAAGTAAACTATAGTAAAATACTCAAAAATACCTGAAATTGTTCAACAATTTACACAACACAAATTACAAAATTGTTTACAAAAATAGTTACTATATTAAAATCCTTAAAATAAAGTAATGTTAAGTAAAATACCCAATTTCTCCATCATGCCTCATTCCAACACATACTTTGCAAATCTTGCACAACCATCCACATCCTCGTGTATCCACTATAATTTCAATGTAGGACCAGGACCCTCCAACCTCTTCCATTCAAAGGGAATATATTATTATAATTTTACAATTAAAAGAACCTGGCAGCTTCCAAGTACTGTAGATCTACAAGTACAAAAAATATAGGTATTAAAACACAAACATATTAATTGATCAGTTTCATAATATGTACAAGACTTCTAAACTAAACTAACTGTAATAAACATAGCATTAAAAGGACTGGTTTATACATCAAACAACAGGTCTAAAGAGAGTGGGGAATGGGTGAATGAATGAATACACAGGTCTAAAGAGAGTGGGGAATGGGTGAATGAATAAATACACATTATAGCTATTTTATAGGTGGGTAAGATAAAAGACAAATATTCATATCAAATACACTAGCATCAAATCAAATACAATACAGCACTATGGTTATGATTATAATAATGAAGAGAAATGACAAAAATATTAATCAAAATTCGGCACCAGCTAACATCTAAAAACGCGCGCGATTACACAGACTTCTAAAAACATTTGACCAGCATATCAACTAAACCAACATAATTTTATACATAAAAGAAATCTATAAACATTTTGACATTTTATATAGGAAGGGACAAAATGAGAGCACAATAGGGTTATTTTATAGGTGGGTGTGATAATTTAAATTAGAGTTATTAAATATGTATTAATGCAATTTCGGCACATTTAAAATCGCGAGTAAACGCAGTGCGAAGCCAGGCAGAATCGCATTTTAAAACAATTGGACGAGCACAGCGCAATTTCTAATTTAATAACATATCAACTAAAATAACACTTAACCCAGCAGGCACATCAACGTTGTTTCAACGTTGAATTATGGTCAGATTTCAACGTTGAAATAAGGTTGGATTTATATTTGGATTTGAAAGTTGAAACAACGTTGAAATTTCAAAGTTGATACAACGTTGCAGCTTCAACGTTGGTACAACGTTGAATTTTCAATGTCATTTCAAGGTTGAAAACCAACGTTGGTACAACGTTGAAGTTTCAATGTCATTTCAACGTTGAAAACCCACCATACTTTAATTTTTGGATATAAAGCAAAGTTACTAAGTTTAACAAAATATCAAGACAATATTAAATACATCAGATATTTTATTTAAAAAATACAGTTCAAGTGCAGCTTAAATTCACTTTAATAGTTTTAACAATTAAGCTACAATCTGTTCCAATCTTTTCTTCTAGATCTTTCAGGGTATGTCAGGTGTTTGAGTACCTCTTTGGCTGTCTCTTACTGCTTCTGCAAATAAAAATAAGAAGTTGTTGACTTTGTCAATCTCAAATTATACATATAATTACTAAACTTAGTGATTTGTTTTTATCTTAAAATGCTTTTCTCTAAGATTTACATAAAAAAACAGCATAGAAATTGAAACATATCTAAGTTTCATATTGACAGCAAATACTGTATATAAGACAACAAAATCTTTTTAAAAAGAAGCTATTTAAAAGTCTCACCTATCATTGGTAAGAAAAACTGCTCCCCGTCAGTTCCTTTCAGCATATTCCCAAGAAATTAACATTCTAGGCTCTAGTTAAGACCATTTTGTGCAGCATCCTGAAATCAACAAACATGTAAATTTTATATTAATAATGTTACAGGTATATTCAGAATCAGAAAATAATATATTTTAAGACAAGATAAAGTTCCAGTAGTTGAAAAATTTATACTTTGTATTGTAAATAAATTCAAATATATAAATTAATAAGAATTAATTTCAATTTAACAAACCTGACAGTCCTTTTCATGTTGAGTGTATGGTATACAGACTACAGCTGCAATACTCTAAATTTCAGCCAGGACCAGGATCTAGAATATAAAATAATATATAATAAAATAGAAATAGATTTATTATTCTCTATAAATTTACGACTATTCAACTTAATAGTTTAACATTCAACTTTGTTACTTAACTTAATAATAATGTTGTTTTTTTTTTCAAACTTATTAACGCTGTATCACTAAAAAATAAAGATAGACATAGTTATATATATTGTCTTGGGACGTAAATTATGTGGGCCGAACTACTTAATAGGTTTCAATTTTATAATTGATTAAATTCTAATTTGGATATAGTACAGACAAATGTTTAATAATATGAAAAATAAATTAAAGAAAGACAACATTTGTAAAATAATAAATTGCCAAGGACATCAATAACTTCATGCTACCGAACCCAAATCATTCAATTAGGTCGCGAAAACGTGTCAAATCAACTCAATCATGTGTTTTCATCTCTTATTTATTTCATAAAGTAAATTAAAGTAGAATTTTAAGAATAAATAATACTATTTTAGAAAATAATCAGTAAACTAAAGTAAAACATTACGGTAATACCTTCGAAATCCAAATAAATTGCCAATCGTGTTGTTTTCAAATTTTCCAAACAGCGCCACCATTTGCACGAACGATAATCATAGACAAACAAACAAAATCATAGACCGCAACAATTACTTCCCCTGACCAGCGTTATTTTATAAACGGGGTTTGACTAATATCAATTTATTAATAAATATTATTAATTAAGAACTAAAAAATAAACAACAAACAAGCAAACATATAAACTAACATTTAAAGCGTTAATATAAAGTGAAAAATTATTTCCAACTTAATTTGTTTTTAAAAGCGCTAATTTTGAATATACGGAAAAAGATTGTAACACAAATTTTCCTGACAAAAATCACTTACAGACTAATTCAATAAAGGAAAAATAACACAAAATTAGTGGTATAAAGGTTTTTATGATACTTTAACTAAATGTAAAACTTCGACCATAAACAACGTTGAATCAACGTTGTATATACATTGGCAATATATCCGTATGGTCGTCCATAGTTGAATATTGGTTGAACAACGTCACGACCATATTTCAACGTTGTTTCAACGTTGAAACAACGTCGAGTGCCTGCTGGGTAATACCATAAACATTTTGGCAGGAAATGCCCTGAAAAACAACAATTCAGTACCACTTTACATATCACTAAATTACTTTACTACTATCACTAACAACGCAAAAATTACATTTTAAAACATTTTTTGGACTATCATAACAAATTTCAACATCAACATACTGTGTATATGCACAAATTACACAAAAATATATTTGTTAGTAAAGAGAGGTAGGAAATATATATATGCACCAAATTCGTACATGTATATACATCAGCACGCGGTATGGTTATATAACACCTCAAAATATTATATAGCACTCCAAAATATTATATAGCACTCCAAAAATATTATATAGCACTCGAAAATAGACACATTTAAACTTTAGGACAGTTCATACTGGATGCAACACTAAATCAACATGTGTTTTCTCTGTGTGTGTGTGTGTGTGTGTGTGTGCGTGCGTGCGCACGGGTGTGTGTGTTCTTGCTAAGAATTGTGGAATGTTTGTTACAAGTCCTGTTTAACTGTTTAACGAAAGATCCGTTAGACATGGCAGTGCACATTGGCCTTCTTTATGTGTACCATCTTGCCAGAGTTTAGTCTTAATCTCGTATGTATGTGAAACATGTTGAATAAAAATTTCACCAAGACATTCCACCAGTTAGCCAGAAATTGAGAGAGAAAACCATAAATATAATGTACACTGAACAAAAGTTCTAACCGATCACCCTGAGTTTTCGCTTATATATGAAAAAGAATAAAACCAATAGATCCGACTTTTATTTTATTTCGAAGAGAATGAACACATTGCGAATAATAACATTATAACATTTTCTATTAAAATAATACTTTATCGATATTTTAAAAAAAATATTGTTATGAACAGCCACTCACCTGTCTGATAGAGGCTCCAGCATTCAACATTCCAACTGCTACGGCACGATCCTGCATTGACATTCGTGCCATGTTTTATGGGTTTTTTTTTTCACTTATAAAGTTAACAAGGATGTATGCAATGTAAAATTTAATACTCACCACGCTCTGCACGAACATTTCGTGCAAAATGTGTAAACCGCGCCCTGTAAAAACCGCGTGAGTGCATGGAACCGTATTAAATTATTTTTTCTTTTCAACAAATCGTAGGAAAATGACACAAAAATCACCTTGGCAAAATTTTATAAGGGGATCTTATTGACCCGTTATAAAATAATCAAAATTTAAAAAAAAGTGATCGGGGGTTTTAGAACTTTTTGTTAAGTGTAATTAGATTTTATAATGATTTTATAAGATTTTTTTTTATAAAAAAAATAAAAACATAAAAACCCCCAACAAGAGGCTTTACATTTAATTATTCTTATTAAAACAATAAAGTACATAAGTTAAGCAAAAATTAACATATATAGTAATCAATATATACGAAACACAGTCGAATTTTTAGCACAACGAAATTGTACATCAGAAACTGCAAACTATCCGAATGGAATTATATACACATTATAGCTCTTAAGTTCACTATTGCCTTGGATGTTTGTTCAAATCCAAAATGAAATTATATAAACTATCAAATTCTTTTTTTTTGCACGCCATTGGTTTTATCCTAAAACAAACAACGGCAAAATCTGTCATTCTGCAACCTTGTAACGCATTCTAGATAGTACATTGCACTCCCATTTGACGTTTTCTTTTTTCTAACTGCCTCAGAACTCCTTTCTCAAGTTCATGGAATCAGAAACATTTTATTGGAATAAAACATTTAAGTGAAGAAGGATAAAAATTCAGTTATGATAAATAGTTAACCTATTCAATGCAAAGAAAATGTTCAAGTATCAGACAATGGGAATTAAATGAAAATTATGTTTCGCGTTTTCGATAAACTGCATATTATTTGAAGTCATTTACTTCAGATGTGAAACTAGAAATGTGTCCATAGGACACGGATGCCCCCACACGCCACTGTTCTGTCAATCCTATGACTCTAGGTCAAATATTTTTTGGACTACATGTGCCACAAGTTGAAAACTAAAAATCAACAAAGGGCCATAATTCTGTTAAATTTGGTCGCAGCAAAAAAATTCCTTCCTTTACTACCATCTACACATTAAGGTTGTTATTCCATGGAAGTTTAAGCAAAATCTCCCATCCGGTTTAAAAGGAGTTGCGTTCACAAAAAATTTATACATAGTAAATAATGAAAAAAATCAACAAAGGGCATAATTCCTGTTAAATTTGGTTGCAGCAAAAATTCCTTCCTTTACTGCCATCTACACATAAAGGTTGTTCATCCCTGGAAGTTTAAGCAAAATTCTGCCATCCGGTTTAAGAAAAGAGTTGCATTCACAAAAATTTCTATACATAGTATATAGTGAAAAAATCAACAAAGGGCCATAATTCTGTAAAAAATTTGGTCGCAGCAAAAATTTCTTCCTTTACTAACCATCTACACCTTAAGGTTGTTCATCCCTGTAAGTTTAAAGCAAAATCTGCCATCCAGTTTAAGAGGAGTTGCGTTCACAAAATTTCTACATAGTTATACAGTGAAAAAAATCAACAAAGGGCCATAATTTGTTAAATTTTGGTCGCAAGCAAAAATTCCTTCCTTTACTACCATCTACACATTAAGGGTGTTCATCCCTGTAAGTTTAAGCAAAATCTGCCATCCCCGGTTTTAAAGAGGAGTTGCGTTCACAAAATTTCTACATAGTATCTAATGAAAAAATCAACAAAGGGCCATAATTCTGTTAAATTTGGGTCGCAGCGAAAATTCCTTCCTTTACTACCATCTACACATTAAGGGTTGTTCATCCCTGTAAGTTTAAGGCAAAATCTGCCATCCGGTTAAAGAGGAGTTGCGTTCACAAGATTTTTGGGCGTACGGACGGACGGACTGACGGACGGACAAGTGCAACGCTATATGCTCCCACATTGTGGGGGCATAAAAAAGAACAGAAAGTCTTTACAGGGGTGAATAAAAATCTCATAAACAAACTTTAAACATCAAAAGGGAATTTAAATCTTGAAATAAAGGTGACAAATTATTTTGAGTATTTATAAGTACAAGCAAGGTAAAATGACGTCAGCCACAAGAACAACCGGAACTGTTCAGCATGATCCTATTAAAAGATCAATTAAAGAAGATTTGATAACGGTTTTTAAGTAATAATTATACAACTACCAAATTTTTTCCACATGATCCAGGTAAAATTTGCGATTTTGATAGTAAATGACTCTAGCAATTTTATAAAATATACCCACGCTGACGGGTGTTAACATGCTAAAATCCTCCATTACTCCGTATCGTACATTTTCACCTCGCTTAAAAAGTATCGTACCTCTCTCTATACGTTCGACACACCCTAAAAATAATAATAGACTTAACCACGCAAATTGACGGTAGTGAAATTCACTCATCTGATAATTAGAACTGGACAGATTAGAACCGTGTGGAGAATATACACGAGGAAAGTATTCTAATAAACAAATCTCAACTTTGCCTAAAGCAAAAGAAACATGTGATATATTGAATCGAATGTATTTTGATTCAAATTACTTTGCATTAAATAGATCAGGTTATATTAGAGTAAAACCTATTCCCGTCAAAATTAAGTCGCATTCGTCCTGTTGCTGTGCGGCGACATCGCAATGCCAAAAGCGAATTCAATCTAGTTCTTCTAACATGATGTTGCATGACAAGGCAGTGTCATTTCACTTTCAATCATTGAGAATTCTATCTTTACAGACATTTTACAAAAATATACTCTCCTTTAAAAAACGCATGAATTCACCTTCAAAATGCGATTAATAACCAGAGTATTTCTATTTGAAAGACCCAGTAATACACAAATACACGGTTTCCGTAGAATGTACAAAATTTACAAGTTCGTCAGATTATTAGAATATGTTGTGAAATTTTTGTAAATGCATGCTTTGCGTCGAAAAACTTTATGTGCATAAAAACAAAATTGCATTGTGAATAGTATTTTTCCACTGTTTTTTATACCGACCATGTACAAATGTAAAAGCGTGTGAATTTTGTGCAAATCGACTTTCAGAGCATGGGTAAATCTACACGTGCCATAAATGGCATTGTGAACTACTGATATAATTGGTGGATAAAGCAGCTCCCTTACGAGCGCTTTCATTTAATGTTAGACAAGCATGGAATAAGAGATAGAAAATATAAACTTCGAAATATGTAGAAGATATACTTTTTAAAAAAATTAACAAAGGCGCATTATGTAAAAAAAATCCATTTTATTTCAATTCTTAAGAATGTCAAACATGTGTTTAATAATGGTTTAAAAAAAAGGATTTAGAGCATATTAGGTGTTTAACAACTGAAGAAAGTTGCGCTGGTAGCAAAATTGTTAACAAAAGTAGTTTTTTTTTTTTTGAAATTCCGTACAAAATACTCATTCACTATGATCACACTGCTTGCCAACAGAGCAAGAAAAGTAAAAAAAAAATGTTCATCTGGGTGACAAATCAAGTTCTTTTCAAAACTGTAACAAGATATCAAAAATAAAACCATTTTGTGAAATAAATATGATAGCATTTCTGAGGCATAATGGGCCTTTAATTGTTTTTACTTAATTAATAATACCGTCTTACTGTAACACTTACCAAACATAGAATCACTGTTTCATGACATGAGTACATGTAGTGGTCTAAAAATACAAATAAGGAAATTACTATTTTCAA